AATCATTCATTGAATTCCAGAAAACACAAGGGGAACAGTTAGTCACACTTCTAAGCACAACTTTAAATTCCAACAAACAGAAATAACATTCTGCTCTTTGGAAGTACAACGGAAGCCGTATTGATGTCTCTAGTGTTTCTGACATGTGCATCAACATCAACATGATTAGCATAAGAAGATGAAGCTGATTTTAAAAAGACAGTCAATCTTCCTGTGAAGTATGACTGGGAGTTTTACGTTTTGGGGTTGTTCTGCACTTTTGGATCCTACACCCCTTGTGAAAGAGGAGGAATCCTGAATTCAACCAGAACATTCTCACCAAGCAGCTGGTGCCAAGAAGCTCAGAAATCCAGTCCAGAAAGAGACAGATAAGTACCCACATAATAATTGTTCTAAACCTAAACCCCTCAATCTCCAGACCTCAACTCAATCAAACATTCACAGTTCAAACACAAGTACAAATCAAAGTTTCTCCAGGACCTAGAACAATTCTGCCTAGAACACTGGACAAAAAAAAAAAACAAACTGCTCTGTAGGCATCTACTACAAGAGCCATCCATGCTAGAAGCAGACTTGCAAAATAACTATAGGGGTGTGAATACATATGACCCACATGTTGTCTAGACTGTATTTATGACAAATATGATTTTTCTCTGTGTAATACTATTAGGATTACTTAAGGACATTTTTTAAATGTTTTTCAGCAGAACATTAAGCAATCTGTAAATCTTTCTCTTATATAATGGATTTGTTCCTATTTCATCTGGGGCAGGAATAAGTCTGAGGAGTATGGAAATGCAAGGAATCATTCGGATTGAAGGGAACTATACTGAAAGTATAAGGATCATCAGACTTGTGCCAAAGCCTGTGCAAGATGTTTAAATATTTTCACTGAATTTAAATAGCGATCCAGTTATATAAACTAAAAATCCAGGCTTATGTGAACACTAAAAAAAAAGCTCAAATGACAAGGAGATATTAAGCAATGCCTGACAACCAACCCATTATTATGGTACATCTTAGTACCTGAGAATAAGTCTGCGGTATTTAACAATGTCGAAGCTCTAATACTTGCAGAAGAACAGGAAAAATAAAATAAACCGAACAGAACCAGGTGTTCCATAACAATGGAGTCTTTTGTACAGCATTTTGGGGACTTTAAAATATTTCCAAACAAGCATTTATTGTCTTTTAGAGCCTTTAACTTTGAGAATCTCAGTTCATCAATAGGGAAATTCCACTGGAACGACTCACTGCTTTCCTGCAAGTTAAAGGGGAAAATTATGACTATAACTATTTAAGGTATAGACTTTTTCACGAACGACAAGCTTTATGTTACAAAGAGAGACATACAATTTATAAGCAAATTATCTACATCACTCCCAGAGGTTACACATTCTCTTGGCAAAAAGTATATGAATTGAGTTGTGACCAATCTGATGTTTTCCTTTAGCTATTTATAGTATTTGAAATTGCTGCAAAGTAAATGTTTTTCTTCAAGCCCGGTACAAAATTTTGGAAAAGGGAAGTTAAGTCAGACACAGTGATAGAGCTGTAAGATTTCAAACCTCTGCCACTACATTCAGAAAGAGTAAAGAAAATGTACACAATAGTCTCTTCCATGGAAGACACTGTCATAACCTGTTCAGCTCTGGGCCCAAACCCTGGTTCTGGAGAAGTGCTGTGTAAAGACTTTTGATGAATGTGCTCTCCACTCTGACATTCAAACGATATGCTGAATTTACACTACAGCAGACATTTCCAACAGCATCAGCTTACAGAGCATCAAGCAGTCTCTCTGCAACTTGCTTACTCTTAATTCCAGATTTAACACTAAAGCACTAAACAGGAGATGTATTCAGCCAGAGCAGATACAGTTAAGAATGACTGCGTCGAATATGCCTCCAATGAGTGTTTTTTCATCTTTCTCTTCAGGTCCGAGTGGTTGTGGTTCATAGAACCATCTCGCTGGTATTGATCCAGCTTCAACTCCCACTCAATGTTTTTAAGAAAGAACTTACAGGAAACCTAAAAATATGCTCCATGCACACACAAAAAATCAGTCAGCAAAAACTAGAAGACAGTGATCCACCTGGAACAGGATTAAAAACCACTGCTGTAGACAACTATCAAGGAGTAAAAACATAAATATATATACATACCCTGTATTCATATTAAGCAATAGATATATATATATATTTGTGCAAATATATTCTTTAATATGCAACACATGTAGACTGATAAACTCTGAATGCACCATCTGGAACTAAACTCATATTCAACTATGATGTATTCTGCAACAACAGAAAGCATCTGCAACCTGAAGTGCACCTCTCACAAGGTCTCAGGCGGGAGACGACAATCACTATCCATGGTTGCACCTCAAAGGAAGAAAGCCCATCTAAAGCTCGGAGTACGCTTTTAGGTACAGTACCCTGAAAATAAAAAACATTTCAAATACCTGTACAGGTTAAGTGCTAATCTGGAGAAAGGGCAAAATAAAGCATTATTAAATATGTAGGCCCTGCAACGGTAACAAAGTGATTAAAATTCTTTCTCCAGCACTCTTGCGGCAAGCATTAGAAGGAGATTATGTGAGCAAATTCTATTCCCTTTCCCCATCACAGTAGCCTTGTTGAAAACGTTTATTCCAGCACACCGCGAGACGTACAGATTCATGTTGGTTGAGCTCACTTGACTGTATTATTAAAAAAGGACCCTGTCATGTTTGTGTCAAGGACTTTCCTACCCCCCGTAAAACAAAATCACAGCTGGTTCCAATACACATTCTGTTTAAGCCTTGAATAAGCTCTTGTATCAAAAAACTGATATAAAGAACAGGGTTTCCTAACTAATCTTATTCAGAAACCAAATCCAAAACAGATAAAACAGTCAAAAGCAGTGCAATATTTTACCCAACACTCCGGGTAGACATCAGGGTAAAATACTGCTGTCTCGTTGCCGAAGAAATGCTCTTCGGCATGGTAGAGAGAAATCTAAAAGACTTTGCCAGAATGAACTGGAAAAGATCCAGAGCCTGAACTACAGTCCTACAAAGGAGCTTCGTAAGAGGAGCTTCATAGAACGGAAAGTCGAAGACCAAATAAGGGTCACACCGTCACTGGATGCCAGTACTGGAGGACTCCGCTACTAGATAGCCATGTAGTTGAAACGCAATTCTGAATCACCAACTGCAAAAAAGTCCATGGATCATCGAATCGGGAACATCTTCCTGGTACAGTAATTTTCCCCTGTTACAGCAATAAAGTAGATATGACCTACCCAGGAAAAGAAGCAAAACGTATTGGGCACCATTAGCTTTCCCCTAATGCCTTCATAGAAAAGCTTACACTTCTGTGTCGACAGGATGAGAAAAATGATTGCTTAAACACAGTAACTCCGCTACAGAGTGAGTACACACAAAATACAACACTGAGGCCTGGCATTCTGGCAAGTGTGCATTCACGCACCAGCGCGGCACACGGCACCACACATAAAGGCACAAGATTCAAACGCACAACCGTCACTTCCTGCTCAGGCCTGCGTTTCTTCAGCAGCTGTCAGGGGGGCAAATGATGAAAGCGACCTTCAGGATGCAGTTCCTATGTGCGGGTCTCACAGAAACCACGTAGGCTCCTGTCTGTGCTGCCTTAAATTATTTACTGGAGACTGCCAGGCCATCAAATCCAACACTGCTACAGTACAGGCATACTCAGCCCAGTGGACTGCTCCATAATCAGCAGTGAAACAAGAAGCAGAGGAAAATATGGAAACTAAGGGGGTGTACATGCAGAACTATAAACAGGAGGTGGTTGTTTTTTTTTTTACTCTAAGGGCTGTGGGAGTCTGGAACAAGCTACCCAGCCACCTCATCGAGAAACAGCAGGAGGAGATCCTGGCATGAATCAGCGACCAATACAAAACATGCCAGGCAGGCCAAATGGCCTCCTCTCGACACAATTTTTATTACGTCCTTATGTTATTGTGACTTGATGGCTGTTAACCATTTAGGGGTTCTGCTGTCACTTAAACCTGAGCCTCCGTGGTGCTCATCCCTGGCATCAGGGAAAGCGATACAGACTGGCAGGCACCCCATACCAGTCAAGGCACTATCAGACTCCAAATTACAGTAAGACTTTCTGCAGTACATAAGACTCAAAACGGATCTTTCAAATGCAAAAAGCAGCTTTTAAGGTACTGGCTAAGGATGCAATTAAAAGATATCCATACACAGATTTAGTGAAGCATGGGTGATTAGCAGTAGATGAAAAAATTGTTTGGTAAGGTCCTTTTCTAGCCTTATTTTACTCAAAGCAAAACTTTACTAATTTATCTACAAAACTATCCTGCATTCCTAAACTCAATTTGTGTGCAATATAGCTTCGCCTTATACATATAGCAGTTAAGCTACATGTGAATCCCATTGCTTCTGCTTCACTTAGGATAGTGAGAGATATATAGGAAAAAAATAATTTCAAAGGAGTAAAAAGTGTTCAAAATTTACTGTTTAGTTTAGGCATTCAGCTGTTCACTAGGTTTTCGAAGGGCTACACCAACTAAAATCTCAACCATGCAACCGCATACAAAGCAATAACATAAACTATACACAACCTCAAATTTTCAGACAGGCCTGAGCAAGTTATTCCGAATTTAGAATCAAAGCACTGAAAATCAGAACCCTGACAGATTTCTAAACAGTGAATTAGAGCATTGTAATCTTGATCGGCTGAGGGGAAAAAAAAAAAGACGGGTTCTTAAGGACAAAACTAGGTACAGGCGCATAACCAGTTAAAATTTCAGCTCGAGCACGGATGCGCATTTCTGAAGAGGCAGCAGCAGAACTGCACCACAGAGCTTCCAGCTGGAAACTGACTCTCAAGGACTGATGCTGTTTGCACGCACCCCCATCCTCACCTGCTGTAAAGCAAAACCGGCTGTTACTATATGCAGCCGAACACCCCACTGTACCCAAACGGGGGGGTCTCACTGAGGAATCTTACCTGTCGTCTTCGCCATCCACTACGTGCGTGGCGAGGGGCAGGGTCTTCAGGGGTAATAGGGTGGCCGAGGCCGCTAAGGCATTGATACCCCCGCTTGGATCGTGCGCCAGGGAGGTGCCAGCCTCAGAGGCACACTCCCCAGCTGCCAGCTTGGGTAGAGAGAGCAGGGACTGCTCCTGGAGGAGAAAGCGACGGGCATCTTCAAGCTGCGCAGCGGTCAGAGGTGGCAGGTTTGGGTACTGGGAAGTAGCAGGCGGCAGGGCTCCCTGCCCTATGGGAAGGCCAACGCCGGCGGGCATTACGGGGGCCTGGCTCAGGCTGGCTAGCACACTGCCGTTCTGGACAGGCTGGGCGGCGCTCTGGGCCATGCTGGGCTGAGGGAGGCTGGGAGGCACGTTAGCGGCGACCTGGCTCACGGCGATCCCAGCAGGCTGCTGGCCGGCCAGCCCCGGAGCCAGAGGTGGCGGCTGCTGCTGCTGCTCGACCGACAGCTGGGTCTGGGGCTGCAGCAGTCCCGGCGGCTGCGGATGGGCCTTCGCCAGCTGCTGCGCCAGCCCCGACACGCCGGCGGGCAACACCTGCGGCAGAATGCCGCCCTGGGCGGTCTGGGCCATCTGGGGCGGCGACGGGGTCGACTGCTGCAGGATTCCCTGCAAGGGGGGCTGGCCGACCGCAGCGGGGACGGTGCCGCCACTGCCGCCTCCCCCCGGCTGCTGCTGCTGCCCCGCCGCCATCATCTGACTGTTCCCGGTCACCGCCGCAGGGGGCATCGCGCCCGAAATGTGAGGAAGAGGAGGCATCGTAGGCTGCGGCTGTTGCTGCTGCTGCTGCGGCCCAGGCGGCACAGGAGTCTGGAGGAGGGGCTGGTGGGGCACGAAATCGGGTGGCAGGCCGGCTCCTTGACTCACGGGCATGGCATGCGCCGGGGGCATCTGGGTAGGAGCTGCCGAGGGCTGCGGCGCAGGGAATCCCATCTGCTGCGGAGCTACGCCCGCAGGGGCAGGCTGGCCAGCCTTCTGAGAATACGGCAACTGCTGCTGGGGGAGGGCGGCCCCAGGATGTCCCACGGAGCCCTGCATGGGGCCGATCGGGGCCTGCTGCTGAATGGCGCCGATGCTGACGGGGATGGAGGGGGCCCCGCTCGTCTTCAGGAGCGAGTGCACCACGTCTTGGGCGTGCACGTGAGCCTGAGCCAGCTGCGGCTGAGATCCGCTCTGGGGCAGGCCCGGCAGGGAACACTGCATCCCTGGAGGGCCGCTGTAGTCGGCGGGCTGGGGAGGCTGCTGCTGAAAGGCCTGCAGCACGCAGGGGGCTCCCACCTCCCCGCTGCCCACGCTCTCGGTGTAGTGGCTCAGCGTGCTGACCGTGCTGCTGACCGAGCTGCCGCTGGTGCTCTCCCGCTCGGACCCCACCGCGCTCTCGGGTGCCGTCTGCCGCAGGCTCTCCACCAGCCTGTGGCCCGGGGGGCCGTCGGAGGGAGGGGCCGCCGGAGCCGCGGCCTCCTTGTCGTAATACTCCGTGCAAGTCCACCGGCCCTTCCTGAAGGGCTCGGAGCTGGAGTCCAGCTTCACCACGCGGAAGCGGGAGCTGGCGGCGGCGGGCGGCGCCACCTGCG